CGCTTCAAAGGCGGTATAATTTAGGTTTTAGATTGAACGATGAGTTAAGATTGCTGCACCCCCTCGGTCGTGCCTCGGAGCATATGAGATTGAGCTTGGGTGGGTTGGCTCATTTAACTGATAATTTCTTCATGTCTCCAACCAAGTTCAGTGAGACAGCAATACATATATAATATGACTAATCATTTACTAATATTGCTTGAGATGCTAAGGATCTTATATGTATAGAGACACATTTAATCTTCCTGTTTTGTTGCACTGTAGTAGTTGCAGTACATTTACTTATCATTAGGTCATGTTATCCGTATGACATCTCTATTAGCGTCTTACTTATAATTGTCCTTCGGCAGACACGACGCCCTTTCACACAACATGTTTCAGGTCGGCTGGAGCTAAGCCTGAAAAGTACCCAGGCGTTTTCCCTTCACCGCAGCGGCGCCGCCTTCTTAGCTCACGGATCGGTTCGGTTCCAGTCCAAATCGATTGCCGGTCTTGTAGCGATTCACAGAAGCTAAGAGGGCGGCGCCGCGTATCTCTCTTACGTCGAGGCGTGCAGGAAATAACCCACTTCCCTTGACTGGGTCGACTTGAGAGTCTCGTCTGCTGCCTACAAGCGTAGTGCTGAGCAACAGTCGATAGAAGGCAATCCACACACTTGTAAAAACACACTAATAAGTCAGGAACACTAATCCAGGGCTTCGTGTGATGTCTGTTTATGTTGTACTACTTTGACTCCGTTCGCTGTTAGTGATCATTCCTGGAGGGGGCGTTTGATTTGTATTTAGCAGTCTATCGGATGGAATAAATTGGCTGGGCTGGGGGGGGGTAGTCTTGGGTTATTGTAGTTCTGGAGTGTTATTGTAGTTCTGGTGCAATGCCCTTGCCGGCCTGTAGCCACCATCCTTTGATGGAGCTATATGTGTGGGCTGGCCAGGAAAGGGTGAGCAGAGTTGAGTGGCGATTTCTTGTTCGTTTTTCTGTGTATCTATCTTAGTTGTTGGCACCACTACTAAAGAGACGTGCTACCATGGAAACCAAACAATAGTGTAGCTGTAATAAAGTCCGAGTGGAAACAGTCGTGTGTAAATCAGATTTTGTCAGAAATTGGGAGAAATGCGGGAGAAATATGACCCTGGGAGGAAACCGGGAGAGGGCTATGAAATCGGGAGTCTCCCGCGAAAATCGGGAGGGTTGACAAGTATGGTGGAGAGAGAAGAAAAGAGCATATACTTGTGTTCGTCTGCACATAGTTTTTTGAAGAAATTGACGAGTAGAGGAGATGGGAAAAAAAGTATAAAAGTATCGATCCTATTGGCTCTAGTATCGATATTTTGAAACGTAACGTAATATCGGAAGTATCGATATTTTGGGATCGATCCGCCCACCCCTAGTGAATACACATACTTTACAGAGATGCTGTATGCGAAACCAATGTGAGTTTGGAAAATTGCACAGTATTTTTCTATTTTAGTATACCTCAACAATGGAATTATGATCAGTGGAAATGGCCATGACATGGGTCCTTTTAAACTTGCTTTCTGAGCTGTGCTGGTTGTGTTTCCTCCACAGGACCGACAGGGTTCACACGTGGAGGCGGAGCCACTGTGTATTCTGGATTTCTACATAGCAGAGAACTTGCAGCGATATGGCTACGGGAGGGAGCTCTTTGATTTCATGCTGCAGGTGAAACTCCTTCCAAATGACTTGAAAGCAGATTTAGTGGAAGACGTTATGACATTCACCTCTCTAGGTTCTTGAGATCAAAACATGAGTAGTCTGTGGGCTTACTAAGAGAAATGTTATGAAATACAGGTTCCATTATTCCTTCATGGTGGAAGTACTGCCTGTTGTGGCTTCCTTCCTTTGTTTCCTTAAACCACTTAGATGCCTTTTAAAGCTTTTAAACAGACATTTCTAACATTTTATCTTTCAATTTTGTTGTTTTACTTACACTTTTGATGACTTTTGGCTTCTGATGATGTGTGACTAAAATACTCGAGAGGCTATGCAACTCTTGGTAAATCAAAATCAAATCAAATTCTTTCCACAGCCATTTAACAAACCAAATAGGCCTTTACAGAGGTCAAACTAATACACAAAGAGGCACAACTCATCTTTCTTTCTATCATGATATACGTCATAGAAATGAACAGTTCAAAACGGTGTCTTCACGGCCTCTTCCCATATCTGTGACTATTAAAGACTGGCACTGTGGGAATTGTAGTCTTTTATAGTCCCTTGACTACAGAGGTCACCACTGTGACAATATTAGGACCTTTTCACAAAAAACTAAAACTGGCTTTAACACTACCCTACCTTCAATCCTAGTATGCCTCAAACAAACTAGTGCGTTGCCTTGTTGACGTAACACATCTAAAAGCACAAGTAACCACACAGAAAGGCAACATGTTCTGCCAGTAGTAATTCTTTAACCTGTAGCCACATGTGGGATCTTCAGTAAAACTAGGAGAACAGAGAGCGATGAGAAATGCGTGCATTTTCACAAACAACACTGAATGGAACTTGGAAGTCTCTTTTTTGAGAGAACCGGAAAATATGTATTAATATATCTGCAGTAGAGATGATGATCACAGTTCATAGCTGTGTGATGTTTATTAGTCTCTTTCTGTTTGTGTACCACAGCACAAGAAGTTAGAGCCCGTCCTGATGGCTTACGACAGGCCGTCGCCCAAGTTCCTGTCCTTCCTGGCAAAGCATTACTACCTGACGCCCAGTGTCCCTCAGGTACAGTCTGTCCTTCACACTGTCGCTATATATGTATGTGTGAGGCTTTATCAGCTGTCACTCATCAGGCTTATTCCAGTAGAAACCGTTAGTGTCTCTGTACTTGTAAAGGATCATTTGACAGTGAAAAAGCTCAACTCTAGACTTCTCTATAGTACAATCATTATCACCTTACTGTAGTGCAGTGTCTCTCAAAGTGGAGGGCGCAGAGGCCTGACAGAAAAAGTTTGAGAACCACTGCTGTAGTGTTAGAAGTCACATCTACCAGTTAAACATTCACCACATTAGGTATGACTTATTTAAGGACCATAAAGTTCAATCTATTCTATTCTAGTCTAATCTTATCATATACATTCTTTAAGGTGATCAGCACTTTTTGAATCAAGTAGATTGTGAAAAATAGGGAGTCAGATTGAATAGCTCCAGCTTTTATTCCAATGCGTCAGATACACACATAATCAACATGTAAGAAGATGTAAGGATCATCCTGGATATCATTCATATTAAAGGACAAGGGTCAAGCTGTCGGACCAGATGTTTCACACCTAAATGCTTCTGTTAGTTCTGTCAGTGTTTGCACTAGCTTATGTGAGTGTGGATCACACTGTTTACATGTTGGCCCAGAGTGCCAACCACCTGCTCTACTTCATGACACCTCAGCAGGATGAATGCATACAGCGACATGCAGTTCAAAGATCCATAAGCTAGGAAGCAGAGATGATTCTTAAATGCGTTAGCTGTTCCCAAAGGTCAAGACTGAACCCCCTTTTCTGATGGCTTTCCTGATTCAGTAGCTTGCCTTGATAATGCTGCTCAGTCAATTGTACACGCCCTTCAACGTTTGTATCACCGTTTGTTGTTTCATTGTGAAAAAGCTAACCCCATTGATTGGATCCTTTCTTACTTTAACAGTTCTGTTGTTTATCACTTTATTCTGTCCAGGCCAATAACTTTGTGGTGTTTGAGGGCTTCTTCGTCAACATAGCAGGTACGGTTTTTCCCAATGTTTTGCTTTTAGTTGCGGAAATGGGTTATGTGATTGAACCTCTGAGGATTCTGGGAATGTATTTCTCCACCCTGAATATGCCTCCTCATTTCTCAGCAAATCTGTGTAAAGCCGTCACACCCAAATGTTTTTGTGAAAACATATTTTCAAGTTCAGTGACATCACATATTTTGCATGCAACAGTGTAAAGTGAATTCTTGCTTTTGACATCACTCTTTTCTTTTTTGTTGCACATTTCTATGTACAATTCTCCTCATCATAGAGTGTGTAAGAGTCAAAAAGAGCAGAGCTCCAACATCTTTTGTTTCATCAAACTCTCTCAGGCTCACCCTCCTCTCCTCTGCCGGATCAGGGGATGTTCAGCTTTTTGTAAGGACTTCTAAATCTCTTTTCTTTTCTCATGTGTCCCCAGCATCTTGTCCTCCTTCTTTGTCCCATATTGTATGTTTGATTTTCTCTGGGTCTTCTTGTTTTCCTCATCATTTCTCAGCCGGTTTTCACTCCCTTATTCCCGTCACTCTTATTTGTCTACACTTACAGGTATAGTATATGTTACATTTGATGCCTCAACCTGTAGACCCACCTCACCCCCCCTCCCTCACATATCTCTCACTGACAGGAGGATACCTGCCTGTTTCCTGACCCTGCAATGCCTCTTCATGTCTGTCATATTGTTAAAGAGGCCCTATTTTCCTGTAGTGTGTTGTATAGGTTTCTGTGCATGTGAATGGTCTGCAAAGGCTACAATCCCTGTGTTTCTCCCCCCCCCCCCCCCCCCC